ACAAAATTCGCCGAATCCTGTTAGTACGTGCGAGGGACTCCGATCATTGCGGCGGACAGTCCGCGGAAAAGAAATCACCCTCAGTGTCGGTCAGACGGTGCACCTGGCTGTCGTCCCTGAAACGCAGGCACGCGCGAATTGATTGACACGAGGCACTTTGGTCCAAGGGTCCTCGGATCTCCTTGTCGTCAACGCCAGGCACTGCAACGGGGCCATCCAATGGCTCCCGAAAACACCGCGGCTGTTCCCACCGAGGCAGATCTCAGTGGAGCCAGGCCCCTTGGAACCCCTCACCTTCCCGCCATAGCATTCTGCTCGAGGACGAACGAGGGAGGGAAGGGAAGGCTTCGATTCTGACTCCAGAAGCTTGTGGTGGAGTCCTTCCCGTGAGGAGGCGTACTCCATAGTTGGAGAAGAGTTGATCTGAGCCGCCCACGCTGGCCTGTTAAGAACCCGCCCACGTCGCAACCACCATGGATGCTTCCCTCAGACCACGCACCATACAGAATATATCACCTTGTCACGATATCACCATGTCCTGGTCCAGCAACCGAGTTGGGCATCTACCCGCCAGTACAGCCCGTTGAGGGCTTTCCGCGATCGGACGATGACCGGCAAGCTCGAAACAAAGGGACTTTGGGGGAATGTCAACCACCTCCCTCTGTGCATGCATAGCGGCGGGAACACCGAGACAGGCGTCATTCCCGAGAAACAACCATCAACGAACCAAGCTGGTTGAGACTTGGGGGATTTTGTTCCCCTGCCACTGAGAGAGCTAGCAAATCTAGCATACATCACCCCTGCCTCTGTGGCGGCGCCTCTTGGGCCCTCTTTTTACCAGGGCGCGGACGCTGTGGGACATTGTCATGGCCAGAACGTGGGACAGAACAATTGCCAGAGCCGCGATCGTGCGGATACACACCTTGTCGTTTATCAATCTCGACGACGACGTCCAACATGGTATTGAAATCAATCACGACTGCGTTGCTCAAGAATCGTCCTGGGTGTTTTGCCTCTTCACCATGGTCCTTACCGCCATTATCAACACCGGGCCGGGGTCGGTTACCCCTGGCCACTGCGTGGCCTGAGGTATCAAATTTTCTTCTCCCATGACTTCTGATGACGTTCTTTTTCTTTTTTCCGAGACTTCACCGACTCGAGAAACACCACCGCCGTTTTGCCTACCGTACTCGCGCTCCACCCAAGCTCACGTTTGTTTTAGCCAACGTTTGACAAGCAAAAGCTTTCTGGTGGCTACCCAGGAGACAGGTCATAAACAGGCCAGGCAAATTGCGATCCTGCACTTGCAGCAGTTCCTCACAGCACATTGATTGATTGCCATGGAAGATATTCGCTGACAAATGGCGTAGTAATTGTGGCATGTACGAATCTGGCATGTGTGCCCGGCACCAGGGTCTGGTGGTGGCGGGCGCGGGTGCCGCCGGCAAGCTGTTCAAGATGTCATCGGTTGTCTGGTCGCTAACTGTGACTTATTCTGGTCGCGTAGGGATGTTGCTCGCAACCTCAGCTGATAAGTGCGCAAGAGACACGCCCTTCTGGGAGACCCCTGCTCCGACAGTCGGGACTGCTCCATCGGGGTATCCGATGGAATTCAGTGGCTGACATGGACAACAGGGATTGAGGTCTGCCTTTGGATTTTACGAAGGTGAGGGCGGCTCGGGCTCTTGGAGGGTGCCCGTTTGACATTCGAGACATTAATACGGTTTCGTCGACGTAAGGGGCGAAAATTCTGGTCAAAGAAATCTGGTCGCGGACAGGAGGATCTCGCCCGATATCGTCGGAGATGCGGTTCTTGTCCGGTAAGCCATGCACACCATCATGGTTTTCTCCAGTGCACCACACCAAAAGAGGGCCATGTTCGGCAATCGTTGGAGAAGCGGGCCTGGTGGAGAGGAGCAAAACTGCCGTTGGTGGTGCCGGACGGAGACATGTTGAGCCTCAAAGCACCAAAGCTCCTCCTGCTGGGTCCCTCCCGCTCCTTGAAGACCCCGTCAGGGCCACATCGTCCTAACGCACAACATTAGGTAGGTAAAGGGCACGTCGTGATGGCTTCATCTCCACGCCATGTATGAACTGCTCGCCGTGGGCGTCGGCAACACAACCGAGGAGGATTCCGTCCCTCCCTCCCTTCCTCAAACCCCCGCGTGCTGTGCGTATCGACATTTTCCGCGCAATCAGCAAATGAACGGACCGCTTGCAGCGTAGGCACGGCTGCACGAGTCATAAATCATTAGTCTCGGGGTTTCGAATTCCCTGATACTGTGCTGTATCGTGACGGCCAGAGAATTAAATCGCTCGCCCTCTCAACCGCACATCAATGTCCGCACGTCATTTGTTCAGCCGGGCCGGTCTAGTGATGAACCACCGAAATCTACTCTGACTACGCCGTACAGAGAGATGAGCTGCACGTCTGAAGCGACAGGTGCGGAATCTTGAAGGGTGCACGGCCTCGAAGCCCTCCACCCCCGACCCGTTTCGGCGACAAAGAGAGCATCAGTCGAGGGTATCGGAGCTAATAGGGTAATGCTTATTTGACCAGCGCGAGCTTGGTTTTTCCCAACCACCCACAGCCGCCAGTCGGTCATGTACGTCACGAACGCCCAGCCTGCAACTGCACGCCTTTCGCATCCAACAGCCAACATCCCACCCATCATTAATCACCACCGGCGTCGTCTAGTGCGGAACTCTGCCGGAGAGGCGTCGTTCTTGGCTGGCCGCGGTGTCCGTTTCACCACGAGGCCCCCCACCAACACCAACTGGCGGCGTCGCTGGCGAGCACACTCGGAAAGCAAAATTTGAGACTTCCAAACTTGGTCTACGGATTGCTGAGGAGGGAAACTTGAGCCGGCCGTAAGATGACCCTGCAGTGCGGGTTAAATGCTGTTGGTGATCGATATCAAGCAAGATACGATGATGACGATGGGCAGCCGATGCTCGCACCGCAGCTGCGACACATGTTTGACCCTGGCGGTTTCTCCAGGTCTGTACGTACGACACGGTACAAGACGTCTTCAGCCGGGAAGTGGGAGGGGCGCGCTACGAACACTCCGCGAATCTGCTGTGCGTTGACTGGCTGTCGAGGTCAAGTACTCGATACCAGTGCGTCTCACGAGCCCCAAGGTTTAACCACCAGTGCACACTTCACTTGAAAGGATATATGTTTGACGCTAGCAGTTGAGGCCAGAACGGTTCTCGAACTTGGCCCGGGCTACCTGTCAAAGGCAAGATTGGTGAATGAACGGATGGATGACGACGGGTTTGAGATTTGAGAGGCTGCGAAAAGCTCCTTTCGCCCGCACCATTCCTCGGAGTTTCGGTGAGCAAACAACTTTTTCCTGACTTGCTTTTTGGCGCCTCTTGAGGCGTAATCTCCCTTTCCCGTGTCCCGTGTATGTATATCCGTATTTCCTGTCCCTTGCCCGTTTCACTTGACTCGAGCTATGGACTCGGGCGCTGACTGCCACTTGTTTTGTCTCGAAGAGCCCCCAGGTACCTGGTTTAGTGAGATTCGCCTCGCCTCGGTTGAAAAGGTAGTTTGTCGTTGGAGAGGCGACCAGAGGCGAGCTATGCAACTGACAACCGGATCCTGGTGTGTTGAAAGGTCATGATTGTGATGTGTCGGCTTTCTTTCCATGCGGGATATGCCGCGATAGAATGGATGGTTGGCAGTATTATTTGTCCGATACCGTCTGCCAATGCCAATGCCAACCAATGCCAACCAAACAAACCCAGAAAGAAATGTCTCTGGACAATTACGGCAGATGCCCCCTTGTTGGGCGCCAAGTTGCGCTCCGCTTTGCAAGCACCTGGGTTGCAGTCACCCCCCGAACCCTTCTGACTTGCATGGCTTGCATGACCATCATTCCCTGAATCGGGCATTGCGAGTTGAAAAGATGGCCGAGGAGGGCTGTGCAAACCCCCACGCGCCAGACGAGAGGGGAGGGGTTGCATTCACGTCGAGCCGCCCGTGACAGGGTTGTGAGCCTGTAGCCTGTAGCCTGTAGCTGCTGGCCAAGGCTGGCTGGTTGGGTTGGTGAAGTCGGTGACGCATGGATGAGCATCCTATGCGATGAGTGCGTGTCGAAGGAACACATCAACACATGCACACGTGTAATGGTGCCGACACAGGCGGCACGGACATCTGCGGCCTTGGACGATTATCACTTGCTCGTCACACATGTCGGTCGGGTGAAGTGCGGTGCAGAGTGGATTTACCCTGGAGGTGACATCGTGAACGAGGCATTTGCTGCCCAGCTCCTACACACGAGGACGATGAGCTTTGCTTTCTGTGCCGACCTCGTAACAGTATAGGGTGAGAGAGGCGAAAGACTTGTAATTGCGTTTCTTGGTGGCTACAGTACCTATGTTTGGAATCAAGCCGATGGTTTCTATGACCTGACGCGCGTCTCATGCTGTCGTAAGCGCCATCTCGCCGTAGTTTGATGCATTGAATTGTTCACATGAAACTGTCGTTGCTTAGAGGGCTGATCACGATAACGTCCGTTCGTTCGACGATGGGTTCAGAAACGTGGAGACGGCGATGGAGTCCCCCCAGCTTCATGCTCGTCCGTTCCTGACGATGAATGGATAGGGCCCGCATCCCGTTTGTGGCTCTGGTGGTCTTTCTAGCCAGGAACTGGCAACACCCTTATTTTTCTAGAAGATGGCTATGAGATGGCTCGGATGGGGCATCTGGAGTAGTTCCCCCGCATCACCCACCCCAAGAGATCATGTACTCTGTACTCCGTACCAGGCTATCCGTGCTGCAAGTGCGCCTCCATCGAGGAGGAATCCACTGATGAGATCCATCTCTCGGTGAGCCTCGGTGAGCAGGCTACACACGTGACCTAAACAGCGGCGCCGGCCTTACAATCAGCCGACACCGAGAGACAGAGAGCTGTGCCCCAAATTTTGCTGCGTGCTATTGAGGTGGGTTGAATAGCCTCGTCCAAACGTCCCGACAGGCCATATATCTGCCAATGGCAAGCCCAATTGCGCTGCGGTCCTCCTCAGGCCGGATACTCCAGGCCTGCACCCCCTCCAGAACATCATTGATCGGCAAGGCCTCCTCAGCACCTCGAGCCACCGCCCACTTCTCAACGACCGCACCACAATGCAAGCGCAAGACCAAGGACAACAACCCGAAGCGTGGCGTGAGTAGCCTGTACGGCTCGGGCCCTCGCGAGCCTCTCTCCATGTCCAACGTTCCCCTGCCCAAACCCCGCGACTTCAAGCCCGAGGTCAAGGTCGACCCTAACCATGGGCTCTGGGGCTTCTTCCCCGCGCCGGGCAAGTTGCTGTGGACGCCCAAGGAGACAGAGGAGCACGGACGAGCATGGACAGTCGAGGAGCTGCGAAAGAAGTCTTGGGAGGACCTGCATGCCCTGTGGTGGGTGTGCTGCCGAGAGAGGAACATGCTTGCTACGTCACGGGCGGAGCTTCTTCGATCCAAGATGGGATTCGGCGAGCGAGAGCTCGATACACGGGATGAAGAGGTAAACACAAATTCCAACTATCCTATGCCTGGACCGGAGTATCGGAGTACTGACTTGGTAACCATAGGTCATGAAGACGCAACGAGCCATCAAGCATGCGTTGACGGAGCGATTCTATACTTGGCAGGATGCCGTCGAGATTGCTGCGAATGACCCCGAAATCAACCTGAAGGGAGCCAAGGGCAAAACTTACACACCCGCTGCGTACGAGGATGAGGCTGAGACTGTACAATGGACACAACCAGAGATGGAGGCGGATGTCGAGGCTGCTAAAGATACCAAGGACAGCCTTCCAGTGGAGGCTGTTGCAGCGGAGGCGCAACAGGGCAAGACAGAGAAGCCATCGGAACGATAAAAGCCTTTTATCGATGAAATGATGCCACGCATAGTCGGGACATGTCTGGGACGGGAAAGGGGAAAGGGTCATGATGTCTGGTTGGAGCTAGGTTGACTTATTCGTCGTGTACATCTAGGGCATGTAAGATACAGTAGACGAAACAAGACATGTGTGTGTATGATAAATGTATGATATACGACTGTGCAGCGCGGATATGAAGATTTGGCTAGGTTATGGTTGTCATGGCTCATCATGAGTAGTGCGGTCGACCAACGACGGAGAGCATGAAGTTGCTAAACATGTCACTCATGCAAACCGATAAAACAGGGCATAAGCTACACACTCGCATATGCATTCCGCATTGAGAAAGCATTTATAGTTCAAGTCACCGGGATTCCGTGTACCGGGATGGTGAAAAGGGGGCAGGTCTTGTTGAGGCAGCTGTGACACTGGGGCCAACAGCTCAAAGAGATCACGTCCTCGTCACCTCTCAGGAGAAGACGAGAAGGAAAATGGCATCTCATTTACACATTTGGTGAGCAACCGACGCCTCAGCGACGGCGGGACCCTGCATCGTACAATTGAAGCCCACATGCCAGCCCAATCATATGACGGTGAGTCTTCTGGGGACAGTCGCCGGCTCATACTAGCTACCTAGTCGAATTGGATTAAGCGATCTGGCAGATTAGTAGCCACGACGAAACGGGCAATGCATAATCAATAATCAGTGATCGGACTCTTGGGAGCGAGATGATGGACTAGAGGGAGATGGACAAACTGGGTAAGACGTTGATATTGGAGGCGTCAACCACAAGGTTAGGATGAAGTTGGAGTGTCCTTTGGCAGTGGTCCTCTAAAATAGTGAGGACGGTCCCCACACGGGCTACCTAAGGATTGACCTTGACCGATGCTTTCATCCCCTCCCCAAACCCCGCCACTTTCTTCGCACCTCGCTCGAGCTTCATCCCGCTTCTTTTGCTCCTCTCCTCCTCCTTTTTTTTTCCTTAACACTTCCTCACCTCCTCCCTCTACTACACATTCACATTCAGTCATCGACGGATAGTCACCATCGTGCATCATGGATGAGATTGCAAAGGAATACGACGTCATCGTGCTGGGCACTGGTATGCCGCTTTCCCCCGCCTCTGCTCTGCTGTTCGAATCCCCCCGCATCCCGTCAAAGCTTGGGACTTTATGCGATGGACGGATGGATGGGGAGTTTGGTGTCTCGATTCTGCGCTGACCGTGTATTTTAGGACTGACCGAGTGTATTCTCTCTGGGTAAGTCGATCTGTGGACAGACGCAGCAAAGCTGGTGCTACAGCGCTTCGTCTTGCGATGCTATGCGCTGGCGCTTGATGGTGCTGGTGCTGCTTGATATAAAGGCGGTCGGCTGATGGTTCCCCCAACAGTGTCTTCAGTGTCAAGGGCAAGAAGGTCCTCCACATCGACCGGAATGACCACTATGGCGGGTTAGTCTCCCCTGTACCGTGATACACCCCCCAGAGACAACCAAGCTGACCGTGTTCCCCAGAGAGGCGGCATCCGTGAACCTCGAGGCGGTATGCAACCCCCCCCACCCACTCCTCTACCCCCCCGACAAGCGTTCCTCCCCTTGACCCGACATTTCTAACGACGACCTCACGCAGCTCTTCAAGAAGTATGGCAACTACCGCGAAGGCGAGGAGCCCTGGAAGGCGTATGGCCGCCTCAACGACTGGAACATCGACCTCGTTCCCAAGTTCCTCATGTCCTCGGGCGAGTTGACCAACATCCTCGTCTCCACCGACGTGACACGATATCTCGAGTTCAAGCAGGTTGCCGGCAGCTACGTCCAGCAGGGCTCTGGAAACAAGGCTACCGTCGCAAAGGTGCCTTCTGACGCCCCGGAGGCTCTGAAGTCCCCCTTGATGGGTATCTTTGAGAAGCGACGCATGAAGTCCTTCATTGAGTGGGTCGGCACTTTTGACATCAACGACCCCGCGACACACAAGGGTTTGTATCCCCGAGCGCAGCGCAGCACCGAGAGCAATGCAGTGACTGCTCGCTGGTTGAGATGATCATGAGCTGACTCGTAGCTATTCAACTAGGTCTCGACATCAACGGCTGCACCATGAAGGATGTCTTTGACAAGTTCGGACTCGAGACGACCACCAAGGACTTCATTGGCCACGCCATGGCCCTGTACCTTACCGACGACTACATCACCACCCCCGGCCAAGCCCCCGAGGCCATCGAGCGCATCCGCCTCTACGGTAACTCGGTCGCTCGATATGGCAAGTCCCCTTACATCTACCCTCTCTACGGTCTCGGCGAGCTCCCCCAGGGCTTTGCCCGTCTGTCCGCCATCTACGGTGGCACTTACATGCTCAACACCCACGTCGACGAGATTCTGTACGAGGGCGACAAAGCTGTCGGTATCAAGGCCACCATGTCTGGTGTTGAGGAGATGAAGTTTGAGACCAACGCCAAGCTCATCCTCGGTGACCCTTCATACTTTGCCGATAAGACCAAGGTTGTCGGCCACGTTCTGCGTGCCATCTGCATCCTGAAGCACCCTCTGGCTGGTACCAACGACAGCGACTCGGCCCAGCTCATCATTCCCCAGTCCCAGGTCGGCCGCAAGAACGGTAAGTGACACCGTATGCTGCCCTGTTCATATGTGTTCGCTGACAATTGCTAGACATCTACATCGCCTGCGTTTCGTCCGCCCACAACGTCTGCCCCAAGGGCTACTGGATCGCCATCGTCTCTACCATCGCTGAGACCACGGCTAACCACCACCTTGAGCTCCAGGCCGGTCTGGACCGCCTCGGAAAGATCGAGGAGCAGTTCATGGTAAGTTGCACACATTAAGCAGGTATTCTGCAGAGTTGAGCTGACACATCTTTCAGGGCCCCCCCATCCCCATCTACGAGCCCAACTCAGACGGCACCAACGACAACATCTTCATCTCCAAGAGCTACGACGCCACCAGCCACTTCGAGACCACCACCGACGACGTCAAGGACATTTACCGTCGCGCGGCCGGTGAGGAGCTCAAGGTTGAGGGCTTGAGGGATGGCATCCAGGTCGCCGAGGAACAGTAGAGAGCTCGCGACCACGAGTCTGGGCTGGGGCTGGAGAAACCAAAGGAGAAGGTGAGCCGCGCAATGGAGACAACGGCGTGCGTCAGCTTTGTTCTCATGACTGTAATCATCATTATGACAACGGTTGTTGTGGCTACCCACGACAAACCGAGGGTGAAGAAACTGTCTCTGTAGACGACAAGCAACCCTTGAAATATACCTTTTTTCGATAGTAGCTCACGTATGATTCAATAATCAATCATATGATAAACATGATAGATGTGTAACCAGGCATTGTGATATCTTTGATTATCAACAGTCAAACTTTTTGCCTCGTAAATCATAAGTACTTTAGTTAAGAAAAAGGTAGAGTAGCCCCTTTCTTTGCTCCAGTAAGGGACACTCGTGATATCTACTATTCTAGCCGAGCTGGTTTTGAAAAACCCCCAGCAACGACGCCGTCCACACAATCAAGTGCGTACACAACAACTCAGCGATGGGATCACAATTCATAGTATTCTCTTTTTTTTTCCATACGCCCCAACTCCCAGGCAAAAACCACGGCCCACGAACCCGCAAAAATATGCCAAAATGAGAGAGAGAGAGAGAAAGACAAACAGACAGACGTGGAGGAAGACGAGCCCAGAGATCTGGGCTTGAACTCCTTTATCGACGGTTTGTCTTGCCCATGCCACGCTTTCCAACAACCTGGAAGAGTCAAAGTTAGCAGTGGCTTCACGGGATTCAACAGATGGACAACTTACAAGATGCTTGGTAATGGAGGCGGTCGTGTGTCGGTCGGCCTCGCCCTGTCGGGCCATGCGGTTCATGCGCTTCTGGTTGAGCTTGGCGATGCGCTCGGCCTTTGTGCGGGTGACTTCGTCTTGGACACCGTCGTCGCGGCGGCTGCTGGTCGGGGCTCGGCTCCGGGCCCGGCTCATGGAACGCATGCGGTCGCGAGGGGTGCTGGCACGGTCGACATCCATGGCATCCGGGTCCTCGGTACCGAGGCGGCTGCGGGACATGGATCGGCCACGGGGGCGCGACTTTGAGCGAGCTCGCTCGGTGATATCGGTGGCGTCGACTCCCAGGGCGTCGATGGCGTCCTCGAACTCGGAGAGGTTCTTCTTGGCCAGCTTGCGGGGGATGATGGCCTGGTTCTTGAGACGCTTCTTCATGCGGGCCTCGTTGCGGATGAGCTGCTGCTTCTCGCGGATGAGCTCAGCCTTGCGCAGCACCTCGGCCTCCTCATCGTCCTCGACATCCTCATCCGACTCGTAGAAGCCCTCAGCCTCGAGCTTCTCCTCTTCCTCTTCGAGAGCCTGGAGCTTGGCCTCGATATCGGGGTCGATGAAGTCGTAAACGTTCTTGCCGTCAAAGATCTCGGGAATCTTGTCGTACTTCCACTCAGGGTTCTCGAGCATGTAGTCGGCCTTCATGTCAACGTTGAAGACACCAGCACCGCCGTTCTCGACCTCGACATCCCTGGCCAGTTTCCGGCGCTCAGGGTCCTCCTTGTCGTACTTCTTGCGGTCCTTGACGCCCTCAGGGATAAAGGTCTCGAGGGACTGGCCGCCCATGGGCTGGGCAACGTGGATTCGGGACATGACATCGGCCAACCTGCCACCGATGTTGCCGCTGGCGCTTGTTCCAGCCTTGAGCTTCTGGTTCACGCGCTCGGCGATGAGGCGCTCGCAGGCGGCGTTCTTGACCTCCTGAACACCCTCCTGGGTGTTGCAGGAGAGCTGGAGGAGCTCGACCTCACCAGACTTGAGGATGGACTGGAGCTCGGCCTGCAGCTCGGGCTCGAGGTCCTCGGGCTTGGTGACGTCGATCTTGTTGACGACAACAAAGACGAGCTTGTTGGAGAAGAGCGGCTTGATGCTCTTGAAGAGAGCAATCTGGGCGCTCACTGTGTAGCCACACTGCTCTGAGAGATCCATAAAGTACATGATGGCGGACCTCAAGTGGGCGATGGCGGTGATACTCTGCATCTCAATGGTGTTCATCTCCTCGAGAGGGTGGTCTAGAATTCCGGGGGTGTCGATGGCCTGGAAGCGAAGATACTTGTAGTCAAAGTGACCGACAAACAGACTCTTTGTGGTGAAGGCATAAGGCTGGACGTCGACGTCGGCGCGGGTGATGCTGCGCAGGAAGCTTGACTTTCCAACGTTGGGGTAGCCGCAGATGAGCAGAGTCCTCGTGTTGGGGTCGATCGAGGGCAGACGGCCAAGATGCTGACGGACCTGGTCGAGGTACATGAGGGGGTCCTTGAGGCGCTTGATGAGGGTGGCCATGCGGCCGAGGGCGGCCCTCTTGAGCTGCTTGCACTGGAAGAGCGACTGGCCGTACTTGAGCAGGCGGACATAGTCGCGGGAGATGGTCTCAATCAGGTGCTTGGCGGTGGAGAGCTGACCGAGGGCGATCTTGAAGTGGTCGGCATCGTAGAGGGTGTTGAGGAGATCCTTGTGGAACGGGTGGATGTCCTGAAGTCGGGGGAAGCTCTCGAGGATGGCGCCGAACTTTTCAGAAAAGGTCTCCTGGGTGAACTTGACCTTGCGAGTGTAAAAGGCTAGAAGTGGAAGTGTGAGCGACCCGTCTTGGGCGTCGTGGTTGTGTTATCAGTGCTCACCTCGAATACGGCTGATTTTGAAGCCGGCGCGAATCTGTGTGGGCAGCTTGCGCTGAGTCCTGCTCAGCACGATGTCCAGGAACTCCTGCTGAGTAGGAACCGGGGGGATATCCTTCCAGGTCGTCTTCATGATGGGCGATCTGTCGGAAGAATTCGATATGGATTTTTGGTATTGGAGCGACAGAGGAGGAGACGCTCGACGCTTGGAAGGAGGATAATGGCAAATTCAGTTGGGCGGTCAATTTTTTTTTTACTCGTGTTATCGATAAGTGGGCGTGCGCGCGAGGGGAAGACGGTGGCTCTGATTGGTTGAGACCAATTGGCATCTGGATCTCAACCCCGCTAAACCCCGCCGCCATACATTGTGATTGAGCGCCAGCAGGTGAGGGAGGGTCAACACCAATCGAAGCCATTTTGTATTGGATGGAGGGGTTATCGCAACTGCAAAAACTTTGATCTCTACCATATCGACCTAACAAGAGATTATCTTCTGCTCATCAATTCCCCCCAACATGTCTCAGCTCGCCCCCTACAAGCAAGACTTCCTCCAGGCCGCCATCGCCGGCGAGATCCTCAAGTTTGGCAGCTTCGAGCTCAAGTCGAAGCGCATCTCGCCCTACTTCTTCAACGCCGGCCTCTTCCACACTGCCCGCCTCGCCGGCGCCATCGCCACCGCGTTTGCCAAGTCCATCGCCGAGGCCCAGCAGCAGACCGGTCTCGACTTCGACATCATCTTTGGCCCCGCCTACAAGGGCATCCCCCTTGCCTCGTCCATCGCCGTCAAGCTCGGCGAGCTGGCCCCCGAGAACCTGGACCGCGTGTCGTACTCTTTTGACCGCAAGGAGGCCAAGGATCATGGTGAGGGAGGCAACATTGTTGGTGCTCCCCTCAAGGGCAAGAAGATCCTGATTGTCGACGATGTCATCACTGCCGGCACCGCCAAGAGGGAGGCCATTGACAAGATCCGCAAGGAGGGCGGTATCGTTGTTGGTATCGTCGTTGCTCTGGACCGCATGGAGAAGCTCCCTGCCACCAATGGTGACGAGTCCAAGCCTGGCCCCAGTGCCATTGGTGAGCTTCGCAAGGAGTACGGCATCCCCATCTTTGCCATCTTGACCCTGGACGACATCATTGCCGGCATGAAGAGCTTCGCTTCTGAGGATGACATCAAGCGAACTGAAGAGTACCGCCTCAAGTACAAGGCCAGCGACTAAACACCACAGGAGTCGAGCAATGGGTTAAAGGAACGATGTTACGATACTAAAAATGGTCACTGGGAAAGAAAGAGAATTGGGCAATCAAAAGGGAGATAGAGTGTGAAACGCAAAAAAGTTATAGACCAGCTATCTCATTATTTTAGATGACTCGGCTGTGCGAGCGATTGGCCGTGGTACAAAGATGAAGCAAATACCTGCGGCTTATCCTGAGCTGATACTCTGATTGTTGCCTGTTGACGGCAGTTGTATGCAGACAAGCTACGAGAGATCTATCATCATGTTGAGCTCCCGGGCTTCTTAGCCACTTGAGTGGGTTCTTCCTTGGTCTTCTTCTTGGGACCGCTGAGGTCGAGCACCTACACAGGCACGTTTAGCAATGGATTGGGTTAAACAGCGAATCGACCACCTACCATGGCATGCCAGCCTTGTCCTGCAAGGGCCTCGGTGCTTAGGCCCAAATCTCTGAAGCCAAAACACTTGTAGAATGGGATCGCGTACTATATGTGTTAGAATATGGAAGCTAGGGGGGAACATGTATCAGAACTTACAGGTAGGCAGATCAATGCAACTCGATCAGCCATGCCAGACTCGTTCATGAGCTGGAGATACGACGTCATGGCCGTCTTGCCAATGCCAACACCTTGGACTTCGGGACACACGACAAAGGAATGGAGACAAATCGTTCTCCCCGTCGACTGGTGGCCCAGGGGTGAACCTTGGCAAGCCGAAGGATCTCGCCAGTTCTCGGGCATGGCCATGTCGGCGTCGGTGACGACTGGGTGAGTTCCGAGGGTAGCTAGGATGTGGACAAACATGACATGCTTGGCATGGTCATAGCGGCCAGATTCGACAGGTCGGCTGTGCTGCAGGGTGGTGATGGTCCAGTCCTTTGCATCATTTGGTCTGTATGTGTTGAAGAGGCCGTAGCAGACACCGCCAGACTTGCGGATACGGTACTCAATCTATGGCAACTGGTCAATGGTGATTCCAGAGACGCAATCACATGAAGGACTGTGTGAAAGTCATATGCTGTCTGGCTTACCTTCTCGGGCAGCGACCTGTGTCTTGGGTCGGAGAGTGCAGCGTTCTCGAGCGTGACACATGTTGCAATGTCATTCTCGGTCAGGGGCTGGAGCATCGGGGCCCAGTGAAATGGAATGACTTTCTTTAGAAGACCGGCTTCCGAGTTTCTCTTCTGGATTCTCAGCTGGGCAATGTTCCTCTTGGACGTGACCATCTCTTCGTCTGCGTCGCACGAGTCGTCGATGGCGCCACCATCGTCGTCCGTGTCCCTATCATCCGTGGCGCCTCCAGAGAAGATCATGTCTCTGGCGGCCGTGGCGAACTCATTCTTCTTTTCCATGCTGGTCATTTGGGCGGTTGTGTGCATGTGTGTGTATGTGTTCCGTGTAAAAATGTCCTCGGGAGACAAGAATAAAGTGACTTCCGTAGAAGGAGTGCAACTAAAGCCACAGTCTTGTAGGTATGGGATGAGAGTCGGTGTTGTGTTGGTGAGCCTTTTTCAAGGGTCAGATCTGTTGCCGGGGTGGGTCTGAGTTCTCGATTAACTCGTGCTGAGGCTGGGTTCCCCGTGGTCGAGGCTGTTCAGCTGGTGATATGATGATGTGATGAGAAGAAATGAAGCTCGCCCGTGCGCTCGGTGGTTTACACAGGCTGAATGGCTTTGCCCTACTTGATATTGCCGGGAGTTGGGCAGGCTGATTGATGACACCGGCGATAGGACTCAAAGGGGTGTTTGCCGATTGTATTGAGTCACTGTCACTGAATAACGGCCTCGTTTGACTGGTGAAAGTGAATCAGCGTCATGGGACGGGAAAGAACTCTTGGGAATCCTGTTTGCTCGTCCACACCAGGTGGACCCACGGCTACCGAGAGATCGGACGATGAGGCCGGCGCCGAGATGGACCAAGTGGAGTCCAAGCTCTGGTCGAGCCGCCGAGCCCGGTCGGAGTATGAGATGATGAGTTTGAGGGTTCTAAAAAGGGTTGATGCGATGGGATGCGATCTATGCGGGGGTGGCCGAGGAGCTTTGGAGTCTGAACTATCTTGTAGGGGGGTGTCGAATAATTCTCCGTCTTCTCGTCAGGATGGGTTCATGAGAGCGGGGGAGAAGATCCATATCCATTCGTACTCCTTCCCAAAGCACATGACATAGCTACCTAGCTCAGAGTCATTCTCACCATGGTCGCGTGACTGCGGCGAAAGTAGGGACAAACAGAAGACGGAAGTTTGCAGATTCTGTAACCACAAGGCAGCAACTGACAAACAAGATTGTTGCAGCGACCCGTGGACAATTGTGATGCTGTTGAGCTGGCCATGTAATCGGTCATGAGAGTCTAGGGTAGACGGATTAGGTCACCTGCATCAGCTTCAGCTGGCGCCGACTTCCTGACGTTCACTCAATGTTTGGCGCTCACCAGATTGCTCTACGACTTACACGCCATCCTGAAAACGAGATCCATTGGATGTTACGCATCTCGCCTAATATTCGTTGAGACTCTGGTATGCACGACACGAACTTCAAGATCCAACCCACCACGTCTCGCTTGCGACTTCAGGGTTTCAGTCCAGGTTCAGAATAACTGATGATGCCCCGTACACCACTAACATCAAAGGCAACATAAGTCTGACAATTCCAGCTCTCTGGGTTCCCGGCCCTAGAATAAGACGGAAGGGACCGCATGGGCAGCTCTAACAACAAACGGCAAAGCTCGGCCAAGACTGAACCAAGTCTTGTCGAATCGACAAGTTCCCCGAGTGACCCGGACAACGGGAACCGGGAACACAAGCCTCCAGCCTGCGAGGAGAACTAGCGCTGCAGGAGATCGCTGTGCGCGTCCCCAGGACTCCCTGTCAACCTGGTCGATCAGCAGTTGGGGATCCCTGGATGGGGGGAGTGTGACCAGGAGGCTCCCTGGAGCGGCAGCATCCGCATGCGATCTCAAGCGGCTCCAGTTGCAAATCACCAACAGCCGCGGGAGCGTACGCAACGGGCATTGGACGCTCGCACATGGCCGGGCATCGACGGCTGCGAAGTGTACCTGATCTGGTGCCCTGCTCCGCGGCCGGGCTTGCACGCGGCAGGAGGACGGGAGGGTTTCTCGGGACCACCTGTGAGGTTGCTGCTGTTGGCAACACTGCTACTCTGGAGTATGTATGGGCCTCGAGAACAGAATCCAGGGGAAGACGGGGTTCATGCCGAGCCGTCCTGCAGCAGTCACAGCTGGCCATGTAAGAGGCTTTCAGGCTGCGGCCGTGGGACAGGATACGACGATGCGTACGAATGCTTAGTTTTGTGAGGACAAGGGACCCGGCCGCAGCAGGGCGAGTGATCTGTTGCTGGGCAGTCACAGTGACCGACCTGACCTGGAGGTCAATAGGCCTCCGTCGATTCGTCGTCAGCATCATGGCGGCCTCGTCGACGCTGTCGCAGCCTGGTGCTCCGCTGTCATGCTCGCCCCTGGGATCTGGGATTCGTCCATGAGCATCGGCTGGCTTCTGTCGGCTTCCAGGATCGGATCCGTGGCTGCAATAACGTGCGTGCAGGTCGACGAAAAGGTACAGTATATGCAGTTGCGGCCGTCCACAGTCACGCCGAGTGGCATGGGATGGAAATGAAATGTTTGTTTGTGTATGTAGCAATGTTTTCTTTGGGGTTGATGAGCAGGTTCCAGCTATTTTGAGCTACCTCAACTCCAGCTGCTTGCTTACTTTAGTATTACATCTTGAGTGCGGAGGTTTCCTTGCTCTTGGCGATAAGAGTAGAAAACTCCGCCAGAATGACATTAAAAGCATGACGTTATCCATTCAATCTCACTCACAATGTGCATGCTCTATTCTGGCAGACCCTCCAACAGTACCGTCTCAGTGACCTATCCCCTAGAGGTTAGTGGCTTCTATCCCTAACGTCAAGCCGCGGGCGCTCAGACGCTTCTGTCATCACCGCCGCTCGCCCCGAAAATCCGATGGGCTTCTTGCCCAAAGTTGCCCCTCCGGCGCCCCTCACGACCTGAACCTACCTACGTACCTACCTTGAACCTCATCCAGCTTCCCCCGGCCAAGCCAGCTCCATCTGCACCTGCATCTACATCTCCATCTGATCTCGGGGGGCGGAACAAACCAACCAACCTCCTGCAAAGTTCTCAACTTTTTTTCTTCTTCTCATCCACACCTTGTCCGTCTTCCCCAGGCCCCAAATCTCGGGTCTGGCTTTGTCTTGCTCTCTCCCTCCCTCCCTCCACGATATCTACCTACCCTGCCCTACCCAGCTACTTACCTAGGCAGCTGGGCCCTCTTAGCCACGTTCACACAACCACTCCTCACGAACCAGCCACTTTGCTACATACGTCTTTGACGTCTGCCTTGTGATTTCGACCGCACCTCAACTCCCCCCAACCTCAACCTCGATCTCACTCGCCTTGGCTCGCATAACCATAACTCCGAAATCTAGCGACAATGTTGGTGGTTTCTCATATATCTCTCCATCCCATTTCTCAAGAGGCTAACAGCTGCTCGCAAACAGGCGCATCACCCTCAATATATTTAATCCCCAAGCTGGGGAGCAGGACAGCCTGCTTACACTCGAAATCTTTCCCGACATGACCTTGGCCACCCTTCGCGAGTCTATCCAGGCAGAATCCACCATCCCTCCGACCTCACAACACCTCTACCACAATGGCCGCCTAATCTCCGACGATGCCCAGACGATGGAGCAACACCAGATCAAGGATGGGGACATGCTGGCTCTGCACGTCCGTGACATGCGAGGCAGCACAGGCGTTCCAGAGCAAGCTCGGCGTCCCCAGCCTCGGAGACGAGGCGGCAATGAACAAGACCCTGAGCTTATTCGCCTTCAGATTTTGGGTCAACCTGCAGTGAGGGCGCAGCTCCAGAGACAGCACCCTGAGCTGGCCGCGGCCGTGGACAACCCAGCTCGCTTTGCCCAGATATTTCACGATAGCCAGGACCGAGAACAGCGAGAGCGTATGGAACGGCAACGAGAGATTGAGAGATTGAACGACGACCCTTTTAATGTTGAGAACCAGAGGAAGATTGAAGAAATGATCCGCCAGGAGCGAGTGATGGAGAACCTGCAAAATGCTATGGAGCACAACCCTGAGGGTAAGTCTTGTTGGGATGAAAGGGTCGAAACTGGATGACTGACAAATCCACAGTCTTTGGACGAGTCCACATGCTCTACCTCGACGTGGCCGTGAACGGTCACAATGTCAAAGCCTTAGTGGATTCTGGAGCCCAGGCAACCATCATGTCTCCTGCCTGTGCCGAGGAATGTGGAATTATGCGTCTTGTTGATACCCGATTTGCTGGCGTTGCTCGCGGTGTGGGAACAGCCAACATCATTGGACGTGTCCATTCGGCCCAGATTAAGATTGGAAACCTCTTCCTGCCCTGCAGTTTCACTGTCATGGAGGGCAAGTCAGTCGACCTGCTGCTCGGCCTCGACATGCTGAAGCGATACCAGGCCACCATTGACTTGGCCAAGGACAAGCTGATCATCCAAGGCGAGGAGGTTCCTTTCCTGGGAGAGGCAGAAATTCCCAAAGAGGAGGAGGCAGCAATTGTACAGGAGCCTACCTTGCCTGGCCCCGACGGAACAACCATTGGACAACGGTCGGGTGCTGTTCTTCCTCCTGGTGAACAGCAACAGCAACAGCAGCCTGCGGCATCCCCTCCTCAGCCCGCACCAGTCGCTGCTCCCGCTGCTCCCGCTGCCCCCCCTGCCGCGCCTCCAGCTGCGGCCCCGGCCCAGCCTGCTGCTCCGAGGATACAGATTTCGCCACAAGCCATTGAGAGCCTGGTATCAATGGGCGCTACGAGGGAGCAAGCAATCCAAGCACTCCAAGCAGCAGACGGCAACGCGGACGTGGCTGCCAGTTTGATCTTTTTCTAAACCCAACTTGATCCATGACATTTTTCAGAGCGTCACTACTAGCATGGGAGGGTATCAGGACCAGGATCAGGCCGGGACTAGGATGGAAAAGAACAAGCTTGCGCGTGGGCAGAATAATAATAGATGGAGCTTAAGCAACTCGCCGCGATGGGGGATAGATAAAGTCCAAGCCCACGCTCCGAGGGGGTTAGCATACAGGCTTTTGATGAACTCTGTGACATGGCAGTCAGGAGCAACAAGAGAGGAAATGAGATTTATACGCCCTTTACGAAGAAATAAAATTGCACGATAGCTTTTGGTGCGGGTATCCCTCGCTGTGATAACTGTGTACAAGTCGTCTTCAACCCCCTTCTATCTTGTCCCTCATCGAATCTTGTAAACGCATGGCTTCAGGATGGAAGATTCGTTGACCTCTGGCTCCTCATCCACGGGGTCTATCCTGCGGATGATGCCCCTCTTCCCCTTGGGAGGCTCCTGGGGTTTCACACCCTTGCCCTTTGTCGGCGATGCACCCTTGATGAAGTGCATCTTGACAAACATCTTGTTGGATAGGTCAATAGCCGCGCGGTCCCCCTGAAGGACGAAACCGCGCGAATTGAGAACCTCGACGAATGCCGAGACATCAGTCTCTCGGCGGCGGTCATCCGCACCGTCCACCTCGATAGCCAGATCCTCGTCGTTGCCACCATCGTCATCACCCTTGCCCTTGCTCTTCTTACCCGCGGCCGCCTTCTTGCGATTTCCGACGCTGTGGACGACGGGGGCGTTCTTGTTCCGGATGGGCCCGAAGCGGCTCTTGATTTCGGCAACCCAGAGCTCGCCCTTCCAGTGCAGGATGCGGTAAGCCTCTTCAACGAAGTCGACCCAGTTGGTGCCCATCAGGGCAAGGCAGAAGACAGCGACGTTGACGGAACCATCAGCAAGAGGGAGGTTTGCAATATCGGCCTTGGTAACGAGAGGACTGGGGCTCTGGAGATCGAAGCTCTTGACGTTGACACGGAGCTTCTTGCCATCGGCTTGAAGAGCCTCAGCGAGGCGAGCGTCGCCGCAGCCGAGGTCGGCGATGGTGCACTCCTGCTGAGTACGGGGCAACGGCATCTTGGCAAGGGGCGTAGGAGGGGCGCCGGGTTTGCCTTTGCCCGGCTGGCGGACCTTGCCACGGGAGCGGATGTCCTGGAGGAAGCTATCGACGGGGTTCTCGGGCCAGACCTTGACCTGTCGGCGGAAGCCCTCGTGGTACTCGTCAAACATCTCGGGGGAGTCCTGGAAGAGCTGGTAGGCTTCTTCGGATGGCTTCGTGTAGAGCGTCTCGTTGAGGTGTCGGAACCGTGCTGAGATGAGCTTCTCTCTCATGGAGGCTTGGAGGGGGGTGAGCTTGGGAGGAGCGGGAGGCAGAGGTGTTGCCTTGACGATGGCGTCGTTCTTTGCTGATGTTGAAGAAGGCTCTTCTTGGTTGGCATCCTTTTCTTCTGCGGGCTTCTTCTTTTGCTTCTGCTTCTTCTCCTTCTTGCTCTTGGGCTGAGCATCTCCATTCTTTTCACCCTGCTTGCTGTCTTGAGGTTGCTCATCATCACCGCGCTTCCCCTTGCCATCCTTCTTCTGCCGCTTGGCAGACTTATCGGGCTTAGGAGGAGCCTCAGGCTTCTTTCCCTCAATGACTGATTCCCACAGGTCGGCCACGGTTGAGGATGTGACGTTTTCCGTAGCTGCTGCAGCGGCCGCGTTGTTGCGCTTGCGCTTCTTTGACTTTGTTCCGGGAGCGCTGTTGTTCTTTGCTGAAGGCGATTCAGCCTTGAGCGCGTCTGCTGACACGGACCATCCTGGTACCGCGAACATTTTTGAAGGTTTGTTGGTTTTGATGTTGTTGAAGTCGTGGTGAACAAACAGTTTGTAGGAAATTTGACGTCTGAACTTTTTTTGCGTCGAGGCATGCACGTCGAGCTTACCGCAAGTAGGCATCTCCCTGTATCAATCTCAAGTCGGCACCTGGCCCGTGCACCTTAACCTACAACACCACATGAAGCTCCAGTGGGAGAGAGAAGTAATGTAAGATGAGAGTTGAATGAATACCTTGATTTATTTAAGAATTTGGTGCAATTATCTTGAGGGACTATCTCAAAAGGCTAGTTCTTTTGAATCTTAATCTGGCAGTATTCCAATTATCGTGTTGGTCTGACCCTCGTAAGTTCGCGTGTTGTAAATGCTCTCACAAAGTTCCAGGTGGTCAAATAGCAGTATAGACATAATGGGCTCTATCAACTGACTTCAGTATCTTCAATTCATGTGGACTTTTGAAACATTTTGTGCTGAAATACTGGATTGTCTACATGGCTTTGTAGAGTGGCTCAATTTTGAATGCCTGGCTTACATCACATTGGCACATACTAGGCAGTAAGAGAACAACATCTCTCTATCTCATATTCGCCTGTCTGGTTAGAAACTTCTCATTATCCTTCAACCGGCCTTGGTTATACCATGGCGGCTCGGATGAAGACGACTGAGTGTATCATGATTGTCTGTGAGATGACCAGGAGGGACTGAATCCACGCATTCCATAAGGTGTGTTGTGATATGATCCTTTCCTTGTTTCTTGTGTATCAAGAGATCTATTAGTGGTCTATTCTTAGTTTAGAACACTAGTTAAGACACTGACTTCCCAGCTCAAGGCCGTTGACGTGAAGGGGTAGGGAAGAAGACCGAACACACGGAAAAAAGTGACCTGACCAAGCAAAAAGTCAAGTAAGCTGGGCGATGGTCTTCACGCACTTGGGGTGACAGGTTGTCGTACAACTCCAGCTCTTCTGAGAACTCGAGACAAAGTGTACATTGACCAAGGGCTTCTCGATGCTCTCGACCGTCTTGGCCTTGGAAACCCGTCTCTTCCCCGAAATAGACTGGCTCCTTGGTGAGAACTCGTCACACCTCCTTACGCGGTGGAAATGCCATGAGCCGCATGGCTGTGCTATTTAGGACAGCGGGTGCGTGCAGAAGCCTGCCCACAGCTGGTCTTGAGACATTATGTAAAAGAAGGAGTCACTGGAGGCGGGAAGATCAGTCGATGAGCTCTGATAAACGATCGCGAGCTGCTGGCGATCGAGAATCCGATCGTAGTGTGAAACCCCCAGACGCCCGACAAGCCATGGAGCGACTTGGCTTGCCGCGAAGTGGGAATGACACCAAATACTCGAGGAGCAGAGAGTACCAGCCTGATGCATGCTTCTGGATCATGGGCGTGAGTCCCCGCGGGCAGCCATGCTCTAGCCGCTTCATCTGAACACGAGGCGCAACTTCAGCTTATTCCTGGAGCATGTATGAACGGGGGTGGCCTCCGAAGCCCTTGCCCGGACACAACAGTTGTACAGCTGCCACAGCGCCACAGCACGAGGACTTTACAGTACTCGCCCGAAGCAACTCAGTCTCTGAAGCTGGAAGCTGGGAATGTCCTCTGTCTCGTAGTGTGGCGGCCTGTAAGGATGGCCCCTAAAAGACACGGCATGCAAACTGGGCAATCCCAAGTTGCAGAATTGGGGTTGGCTGCTTACCTATCAAGGTCCATCTCTATATCTGTACAAAGATTGCAGTGCTCTGCAGCGCTCTTCCTGGGCAAGGGCTCGTACTCGTGGAACAAGCACGCAACGTACGGGGCACAGGTATACCAGTTGGTAGGCCTCCAAAGCTCTTGGTTTGCCACAGCCTTCTTCAATGGCGGCGTCTGTACCACCGCGGCTTGGTAGATGAGGCAGGTCTTTGAGACCAACGACTGGGGTCCAAGACATGGTCTTCGCACCGTTCGTCGAGAACTTTCGAGCTCGATCGTGATGGAAACATCAGAAGCGCAGTTCTGCGTCAAAGAAACGGCGGCATGCCACTTCAACACCGGTTCACGACATGGTGGCTTGCCGGGACAAGATCCCAATGGCGGGCGACGCCGGGGTTGGGAGGAAAAGGACCTGGGCTACACCTTCACGGCCTGACGATCAGGCAGAGAACCGGGCAAGGGGGGCCTTTTGGCGTTGAGTCGGGTTGCTCAGAGGCAGTGTGTCTGGTCAAGTCGCACATTGTGCGTGAAAGACATGATGCGTTCAAAGGATCTGGGCAGGACCAGAAACGAGGAATGTGTAACGCTATGTTTTGTTTGTGTTACACAGGTGCTCTTGAACTGGTACTGTAGCTGCATTCAGACTTAGCGCTCGAGTAGGAGGGCAAGACCATGAGGGCGCATAGAAGCGTTGGTTCATGGTGTACAAGACAAGACGTAGATCAACAGGCTAGTAATGCCCGGCCAACACTAGATACACTAGATTCAACAATAGTTAATATCCATCTGAAGCACCAGACGAGGAAAGTGAACAAAGGTCATGAACTGGTATACCTTAGTAGGTAGGTAGTAAAGGTAGTGTAACGCACGGAGGAGGTTGCTAATAAGGTTTTGGCAGCCGTTCGGAGGGTCCGCGGGCGGGAGGGGAACCCGTCCGAGAAGGGCCCGACCGACGGTACTGAAGGTGGAAGGAGCTCGGCCAAGTCACTTCCGAGAAAAAGGCCCAAGATTTACGAAAAACCATTCGTCAATCTTTTTACGTACTGTAACGTTAGCTGGGGCAGTCGGCCTCAAGCTCGAGTTGAAAGCAGCGGTCTAAGGGCCCGTGGTGGTGTGTGGGAGACGCCCAGTCCGTCATCGAGCCTTATTTAGGGCTGGAATTGCCAGAAAAAGAGCCCACAGGGCACTGTGTAGGAGCAGAGGAGGAGCCAGAGGGGTGTCGTGCTCACTGACGGGCTTGATTTGGGGGCTTGTGGCTGCATTGCATTGCGTGCTCCATGATGAGGGCAGATAACTTATAGCACCGTCGTCGACTGGAGGGAGGGCACTGTCCCGCGTATTCGGTGCTGCTCATCTCAAGATACGGGCCCTCTTCCCTGCCCTGCCGGCTTTGATACCTGCAGTTTACCATGTGCGTACGGAGCCTTCGGCACCCAGCAAGCCCCAGGCGCAAGCAGAGCGGCATCTTAGATGCCGGGTCCTAGATGGACGAATGGAGATCGGCATGGTCGGGTTAAGGTTGGGCCAGGGAACGCCCCAGGGTGTCGCACTGGGCAATTGGCGGCGTCAAGCTTGTGATTGCTAAGTCCTGACAGCAACCGCCGGATTGTATTATTTCCCCGTGCGTCTAGGGTTTGATGATGGCTTCGACCTTGATGTCAATGCTCTTTACTTTTCAGGGAGACCCGTGTCAGCCAAAAGGCGTAATCTGAGACGGTCTTGCTCGTTGGCAGGGCAAGAGAGAAGAAACAATGCCTTTATCTGTGTCACTCTCCGTTGAGAAACGGGAAACGGATACTTCGGGGTCTGATGCCGGCCAGGGATGCTCGAACGATAGGCCCGCCTTAGTACTGCAACGCCGCCAGCAAGACAAGGGTTGTCCTTAGACTTGAAGGACTCTGTCTCTCTCCCCTCTCTGCAATCCAATGCAATGGATGCATGAGGGAATCCACTCCCACGTTAAATGAGTGGCAGTTCTGATGCCGTCGAGTCGGCGGTACCTGTCTCTTGGAAGCTTTTGGGGTCGTGCTAAGGCGAGCGGTGGGAGTTTTAGTGCCTTGGCCTCGGAGCCTGCAGATTGTCAAGCGGCAGTTTTGGCCCAAGCTATCCCCATGTCTTGTCCATACTGTATCTGGGCTTTCTATCCGGTTGTGCATCTGGCCTGGTGGTGATTTTCAAGTTTCATCTGCTGGGGGATAGCGGCCTTTGTTACTAATAGGACTGATTAGCGCACCTCGTGTACCTTGGGTTGCAGAGGCTCGTACTGGGTGTGGACTCGACTATGCCTCTTGTAGTTTGCCCGTCTTGATACCTCGAGCGGGAGTGAGTCTGGATTACGGATATATGGCTTGGAGCCGAGGCATCTCCTCTTTCATACTATGAGACGAGAGAAATGAATTACTATTCTCTTTCACTGCACCTCATCTCACTCCATCACCTGTCTGTTCTATGGTGGTGTCTCTCAGTTGTCTTTCCGTGACACCCACTGCCCGCACTGCGCCGCTGTACCCCGTCCTCCCTGGTCTGGCCGCCTTCCATTTCAATTTTGAGCCTCGAGGCGGTAAATAAAGTCTGAGAGTGGGAAGGAAGGAGGTACCCTGCGTGCCTGAGGAGGTGCCTCCCGTTCTTGCCCACCTCGTCGAGCCAGCCTGATCTGAGAATAGCCGGCCTTTCCCCTCCGCATTAACACGTCCTTCCTCTTCCATCCTTGATTTTGAACATCTCCTTCACCTCCAATCTTTACTCCCAAGGTTCCAGTAACGCCCTTCGAGCTGCGTTTCATCTGTGGGCTACAACTCATCCGGCGTCTGGCTTGACACTGTGTACCTTCCCTATTCGGGACGCCATCACCATCTCCATCGCCGGAGAGCCCCCCCACAGTTTCCGGCAAAAAACCACCACCCTCATCTCCACACATCCCAACATCCCGCTAAGCTACCTTTACAGGCGGCGGGTACGGTGCCGCCCTCAGGACCCGGGGCGCGTGCTGCCCTTTCTCGGCCCTTTCTCGTTCTGTTCTCTCATCAGTCGCCTCGCAAACTTGAATAATTGGGCCTTACTAGAGGCCTTTCATTATCAGCCGGACTCTTTCAACGCCCCGAGGTTAAAAGAAGGGTCCATCGTCTTGGCAACAAAAAGAGAGAGACACGGAGACAGCAAGAGCTAAAACAAGAAGCTTGCTCAGAGACATCCCGACTAGACGACCAGGCGGCTCAATCAACAGCAGGCGGACAAGACAAAACACTGAGCACAAGATCGTCATCCTTGCTGCGACGGCCGCAGTCCTTGTCGCCGGCCAGACTTGACAGGAAGCCAATCCATCTGTTCGCTCCGGTGGCCGAGCTCAACTGACAAACCGGCGACTCTCAAGTTACACAAACATGTTTCAGTTGCTCTAGCACCTGCCGCCAGAAGCTTCCTTATAGTAGACAATCCCGGATCCTTGGCTTCTGTCTTGCTCTCCCCTCGTCCCCTCGCGCGCTTGAGAGCACGACTCTATCACTTACCTTCCTCTCCTTTATTTGCCTATATTGCATGCGCTTTCCCGTCTCCTCTAACCTATTGGACTCGTCAAGTCATATTTGCGGATACACCTCCTCTTATCTTCCCTCGGCTGTTTCTTCGTCCCGAACTGCTCTTGGTCCCGCCTGTTCGCTTTCATCCCAACTTTATCATCCGAGCCGAACCCGTCTTGATTTGATTGTCCTGCTTATCGGTCCCAAGCCCACATAGCCGGCGTGTTCCAATACTTCTGTCTTGGACTGTGGTTTACTCCCGACTCAACCGCGAGGAACCGTCATGTGAAGCTGTCAACCATAGAGGACTGCGTGAACCGAGAACTTGTCAAGTTCGCACCTCGGCGGCCCTTTCATCATGGATCGAGATTCTGGAGCAGCATCAGCTTCTGCTGCTCAGAAGGCACCTGCTGCCCCAAACCAACAAGATGATGGTAAAGACGACCCGGAACGCAAGAGGAATAACATCCGCAAGAGGACAAAAACTGGTTGTCTAAGTGAGTCTGCAAACCCGCTATTCCTGCATGTTTGCTTCGAGAGCTACATTACTGACGTATACTCCCGTAAAGCTTGTCGCAAAAGGCGCATCAAATGCGACGAGGGCAGGCCGACATGCAATAACTGCATCAAATCCAAACGACAATGCGAGGGCTACAGCCAGCGGGTCATCTTCAAGGACCCAATGGGTGCGATACAAGGTGGTCCTTTTGGTCCTGCTTTGTACCCCCCAGGGTCTTCACATCTCGTCAGTCACTTACAGGCAAAGTCCTCGTCTCAAGGTCCCCTGCCCATGATAGCCCCCAAGCCGCCCTCCTTCAGCTATCACGGGCATCAACATATGCCCTATGGGCACTACGCCCATGGACAAGGCCCGATGCCCCCTGGAGCATATGATTTCAACGCTTCTGCTGTTCCGCATTCATACCACCAACCTAATGGCATGATGCCACCCGAGCCTCGCACAGAATACGCCAGGATTCCACAAGAACATCGCCCGCACCACTTCGGCCCTCCGACTAACGGACAAAGCAGCGAACACTATGCGAGTGAACCATATGCCAGTGGCAGCCAAGCGAATCCTGTTCGCGTAAAGAAAGAGCCACCCGAACCGGCGAGGAAAGTACCGGACTCCACCCTTGATTACGACTTGCCGGAAGACGATGCCTCGATGGGCGAATCAGACGATGAAACTCATGACCCCCGAGAAGTTCTTGGACCGGTAATGAGGCAATTCAATAGCGCATGGGACTCGAATGGGACTCGAGTTCGGGCTTTCTCCACGTTTGCCCAATGCAACATACTCTCTGACTATACCGCAACAGCCCGGATATCTGAACTCAAGGATCCTAGGATGCTGGCTATCTTCATGCACTTCATTCAGGTGACAGGTCCGAGCATGTCATTATATGAGAGGCACCCATTCGACCATACTGGCGAGAACGCGTTCGACGCTACTCCCAAAGGAACCAATAATCTTTGGAGCTGTAAGTCTTTCGTCTCCGATATAAGTCCTGCCAAGAGCTAACCGTCGGCAAGACACCTTTCCTGTCATATCCTTGAACCACCCTGCGCTACTTCATGCCATGCTTGCTCTGGCGGCCTTGCAGATAGCAAAACTACAAAAAATACCAGCTACTGCCGCCATGAAGCACTATCACCTGGCAATACGTAGGATTGCTAGAAATGTCAACACACCCCTCAGGCGCACACAACCTGCAACGGTCGCAGCAACACTCTTGCTGGCATACTTCGAAGTTTGGTCATCGGACCATACCAAATGGTGTAATCATCTGTTTGGTGCCAGAATTCTGTTTCGTGAGATACCTTTAAGGGAGATGTCACGGAGATACCTGCCGGTGAAGCGACTGAAACAGGCAGAAAGGGATGCTCGGAATCAGAACCAAATGGACAGTTTCTTTCCCGGCTTCTTGGTAACATCACAGAGCGAACTCAACGACCTTGACTATAACCTTCTTCACACGCTCTCGGGCCATGGAACCACGCCAGATGATTACGGACTGGGCAAGGGCCAACCGGCTGACTCGCCCAACGTCACTGTGACTGACAGAGATATTGAACAATACGAAAACGTGCGGGACTTGTACTGGTGGTACTGCAAGATGGATGTGTATCAAAGCATGCTTGGAGGCACTAAGTTATTGTGAGTTATTCATGCGTGTGATGGTGACATAGCTAACCGATCTAGCATGGAATACGAGTTTTGGTCTCAATGTCCACCCAGAGCGCCAATCTCTAAACTAGAAGCTATGTTAGTTTACCCGCTAATGACTTGGGCCTAGATGGGATTCTAACACTGAAGATCTAGATATGGAACATATGACCATCTCATACTCTTGCTTGGGCGCCTTGCGGAATTTTCCTCCAAAGATGTCTCACGAAAAAGAAGGGTAAGCCGTGCTAAAGGCCCTTCACCTGGAGCTGGCAATGGATCGCCCCCTGCGTTCCCTGGCATTGTCCCCACGACTGGGGATTTCAAGGTCCCAAGAGGCTTCACACCTCCAACTGGGTCATCGCCACAGAGCGACTCAACTGACGAGAATGACCCTGAAGCCAGCTTTCAAGCTGCCCTCCAGGAGTGGGAGGCCATCAAACATGCATTTGAGGTTTTCGAGAACAGTCTGGGCCCCGAGTTCCAGCCTCTTAGGCCGGAATACTCGGATAAACGAGACTCACCGTTTGGAATGACGATGCAATACCGGACATTTTCGGTGGCCGGGATCTGGATGAACTACTATATGGGCATGATCCACCTCTTCCGGACTCACCCTTCGATGCCACCGGCCGCGATGCAGGCGGCTGGAATGTCGGCGCGACAGACGGCCCAATATTCGAACAAGCTGGGTCGGGTGGCAGCTGGTCTATCAGACGACTGTTCGCAGATGACAGAGATATCCTGTCTGGTCAGCGCAGCATTCATTGAGAGCTGCTTTTGCTTGTTTGTAGCAGCTATCGAGGTACGTGACTGTCATCCGAGGAGAGGCACTAGACCCTGAACCGGAGCTAACAATGCTATAGTACCAGGATGATGGGCAGCGACGCTGGGTCGTTCGTCGACTGCGTGATATCGCCAGACTGACGGGCTGGCAATCTGCGAGACGGATTGCTGATGGATGCGAATCTTCTTGGATCAAGGCTGCGCAGCTCGGCCGCGGCGCACCCTATGCTCGCACGACCGAAGCTGGTGTTGTGCCCATTTCGGTGTGGCAGAATCCACGACGGATTGACCGAGTCATTCAAGAACTTGAGCCAAACGAAGACCAGCGGATCGTCGTGGCCAAGTCAGAACGAGCATCGTACGCTCTCGGGTTGTTGAGCGTCGAACGAGATCTGGAACTCCTAGAACTCAAAGATGATGGATAGGGGGAAGATGTGGTCTTGGATAGAGAGTAAAGGGGTGGGTAGGATCTGGAGTGCTACTTGTTTATATCTTATAACGCGACATGAATTTATGGATCGCATCTTTGTTGCAGATGGTACCTGGCAGATAGAGTAGCTGCATGGAGAAGGAGGTGGAAAGGAAATGATAGACGTGATGCGGGTGGTAGGAATCAAGATGCTTGGGCGGATCATTTCTGGGTACCCATTGGATCCATACATTAATGATACATAAGAGGGGTCATCCTCAGAAGGCCATCCATGGGCGCCCAGGTATTTGTCTACAACTTCTTCCCTGGATGCCTTGGTAACTCGCGGTTGCACGCCGACCCAAGATACGCCAAGATCAAGATTCTCTGTCTGTCTATTCGTGGATTCTGTTCATCATTAAGCAACCTCATCAGTTGGCAGGCAGCCGCTCTACGACGGTGGCCATCTCTTCGTCTGTGTATATTCTGAAGCCCTTCTCCCGGGTTACGCTAGCCAGCTGCACGTTCTTGGCATCTAGCTTCTCCTCCATGACCTGCTTCAACGTCTTGAGGACAAGAGTCTCTGCGTCTGTGAGAGTCAAAGACTATGGGAGAAGTGTTAGTTGGTTATAGTTTAGGTGCGCGGGGTCAAAAAGGGAACCCACCTTGTGGTATTCGTTCTGAAGCTCGGCCTGGGCACCCTCCGAGCCAGAGCCGATGGCCTTGGCGTCGTAGCGGTAAAAGGTGCCACTGGGCTCAGCGTGGAACAGCTGGGGGCCGTCCTCGTCGAAGCCAGCGATGAGAAGGGCAACGCCGAAAGGACGGCTCATGATGGTCTCTTCACCGTCAGCACCCTCGCCGAAGCGCAGGGCAAGGTCGCAGATGGCCTGGGTGCAGCTCTCGACACGAAGAGGCTCGTTGTAGTTGAAGGAGTGGGACTGGCACTCGACACGGGCATGCTCAACCATGGAGCGGGCGTCGGCCTGGAGGCCAGACATGGCGCAGCCAATGTGACGGTCAATCTCGACAATCTTCTCGACGGACGAGGTCTCGAGGAGGGTCGAGGTGACACGCTTCTCAACACCGAGGATGACGCCCTCCGAGGTGGCGACGCCGATGGCCGTGGAGCCGAGCTTGATGGCTTCGAGGGAGTATTCGACCTGGAAGAGCCGGCCTTCGGGGGAGAAGGTGTTGATTCCCCGGTCTGGCAGAGGTTAGCTTTGCTCTGGGGAGTGAATGATGGCGGGGAAAGGTGAGGGAAGGGTCGACATGCCGTATTCGGATCTTGCCATAAACATCTTGGCGGTTGTGATGGACGGTTGGTAGCTAGAGAGGGCGGAGAGAGGGCTCGAGGGGGAGCAGATGCGAGGTGCAAGACCGGTGTTGAGATGGGCGAGCAAGCTTGCGTGGAAGAGCTTGCCAGACGGTAAAGGGAAGAGCTGGTGAGAGGGGCTGAAAGACCAGAGCGAAGATGGATGATGGTTGACGATGCGGAGGATGCGAGCTCTGGTGGAGTTTAGAGCAACATGGACCTCAGCCAGGCAAGCACTCCGCCTACGTAGTAGCCGCGCTGCGGCGTTCGTGGCTAGTGGCTTACAGCCTGGATTTTTAGTGGATGGGAGGTGCTGAAGCCACAGCTACACATTTTCACCGCCACAGTAAGAAGCTCAAGTGCCGGACGAGGCTGACTGAGGCTTGAATGCTTGGGCATATAAAAACAATGCTTCTATTCAACGACTACAACAAAGCCAATTAATTCGAATGAATTGATTTTCTCTATATTTCATACTGCATCAAATACAGTCATCGACTTGTTCCCAGTCACCAATTTTACGTAGTAACACAAGCTCGTCCATTTATTTTGACGCGACGAAACAAACCAACCCCACGTCACGTCGTCGCGCGATTGGGCACACACACTTACAGCTTCCCCAAGCCGACCAGTTCCTCTATATCAACAACCCCCCCCGGCCAACATCCGCAACCACACACCCCCCCAAGTCCCCAGGACTTCTATCTGGTCGACGGCGCAGGGACGCCCTCTCAATGTAGGACGGTTAAAACATGTCATCCGGTGCACCCAGAGCATCGGGCCGAGCAAGCGCCAGCGAGCACCGCGAGGAACGGCCCCGCGTCTCCGCAAGGCATACCGATAGCTTCAAGAGCGAGCGCTCCGAGTCCAGCAAGGGGCCGTCGCCTCATCCGGGGAGCTTCCCGGGCGTTCATAAGCGCACGGCGTCCGGGAACCCCAGGCCGACGAGCCGCAACGTCGAGGAGAGGAGATATGAGGAGAGGAGGGTGACGGAGCGCACCTATGAAGCTCACCTCGAGCGCGTGGTGCCTCGAGCGACGAGTCCGGATAGGGCTACTCGACGGAGAGGTCCTTCGGAGAGCAGGAGTGCATCGGAAGCACCGAGGTACAAGGCACCTGAGGCGCGACAGCGGGAGACGAGAGCTGAGACTCCTCAAGGTATGACGACTCGTTGGACATTCGATGGCATCAAGGCTGACCATGCATAAAGCACCATGGAACCCAGAAGCGACCCTCCTCCCACATACTACAGCACCTCTAGCCTCTCGAATATCCATCCCTCCTCTCGCATCGACCGTACCACAAGCCCCCCAGCCAAAATCCTTGGGGGAGCTGAGCCTCGAGCTACAAGAAGCCGCCATAGTCGAAGATCTACTCTACGTCTTCATGGGATATGAAGGGCAGTACATCAGATTCGCCAAGGGATACAACCCCAACGAGGAAAGGGATAGGTTGTCCGGGCCGAGCTTCAGGACGCTGCCCGGTCTTGACCCCAGCCTACAAGACCTGACATTGTCGATGCTCAAAATGGCGACCTACTACTCTGCCCTCGAAGCCTTTGTCGATGTCCAAAGTCGTGAGGAGTTTGGCGCTGTCAACCACGCTCTATGTGCGTCAATACGCAAGTTTCTGCACGACTATCTAGTCATGATTGCACAGCTCGAGACACAGTTTCTCACGAGTGATACATTTACGGTGCATGTGCTCAATATCCACACCTTGTCCACGAGACAGATGATGCTGCAACTATACATGTTGGCTCACGAGCTTCTCAAGAAGAACGCCCTGCTCGACGAAGAGACGGATGAGTCTGAGGATAGTGCCGACGACTTTGAAAACATCCTGGAAACACTACGAGATGGCGGCGAGCTGGTGCCCGGCAACATGACGGGAAAGAAGATATGCAAAGGTGGAGTTGTTCTCGGCTTGATCACGAAGCGCCTCGAGTCTCTATCTGGAGATCCAGCAGCCAGAGCTCTACTGACGACGCTATTGCGAGACGCAAGCAAACCTTACATGGTCATGCTCAACGAGTGGCTACATCACGGTGGAATTCATGACCCTCATGCAGAGTTCCTGATCAAGGAACAGAAGAGCATCCGTCGCGAGAGGCTGGAGCAAGATTATACAGACGAATACTGGGAGCGACGATATACTATTCGAGAACAAGACATCCCCCCTCAACTCGAGGGCGTCAAGGGCAAAGTCTTGCTCGCTGGAAAGTACCTGAACGTCGTCCGCGAGTGTGGCGGCGTCGATGTCAGCAAGGTTGTAAAGGACGTCCCCGTCTCCTTTGACGACAGCCGGTTCCTCGAGAACGTCAATAACGCGTATGCCCACGCCAACGAGTCCCTCATGCAGCTACTACTCACGACACATGCGCTGCCAGCTCGTCTCCGCTCTTTGAAGCATTACTTCTTCCTCGACCCATCCGACTACTTCTCCTACTTCCTCGAGCTGGGTGCCTCGGAGCTGCGCAAGCCTGTCAAATCTGTCAACACGGGCAAGCTGCAGTCTCTCCTGGACCTGGTGCTGCGTCAGCCGGGAAGTATTGTTTCTCTCGATCCCTTCAAGGAGGACGTCAAGGTTGAAATGAACGAGACTACCCTCACAAAGGCTCTGCAGCGCGTCGTTAACATCACGGGTATTGAGCAGGGTGAGGCGTTGCAGCCCCTGGCTAACCAACCCATCGACAACGACAAGAACGCTGTCGGCTTCACCTCTCTGCAGCTTGACTACCTTGTCCCATTCCCCGTCTCCCTCGTCGTCAGCCGAAAGACCGTCTGGCGATACCAGACCCTCTTCCGCTACCTCCTTTCCTTACGCTACCTTGAGTCGCAGCTCTCCACCACCTGGCAAACGCAGACACGCGGCATCAGCTGGGCGCACAAGGGCGTACTGCGCAACTTGGAGATCTGGAAGCGTCGCGTCTGGACTCTCCGCGCACGTATGCTTGTCTTTGTCCAGCAGTTGTTGTACTTTTGCACCGCCGAGGTCATTGAGCCCAACTGGACCAAGTTCATGTCGCGGCTACGGCCCAACGAGGATGCTACAGGTGTCAACTCGGGTCCAGGGGTATCTACACGGACTGTCGACGAGTTGATGCAGGATCACGTCGACTTTTTGGATACGTGTCTCAAGGAGTGCATGCTTACCAACAGCAAGCTACTGAGGGTATGTACACATTAATCTACGCCCTGACATGACAGCATCGCTAACCCCTCGCTAGATTCACTCCAAGCTCATGCAGACCTGTACCATCTTCGCTGCCTACACAAACTGGCTCACCCGTGAACTCGAAAAGTCAGACCCCGACCTCTCTGGCGCAACCAGACCGCCTACAATGACGGCCGACCAGTGGAAGCGCTTCCAGGCCACAAAGGCCACCCAGCGAGGTTCAGCTGCTCACGACACGTCCACCGTCTCGGCTGCCGGCGCCGGCGCTGGTGATGCCGAGGCTCGCATCGAGAACCTCTTTGAGATCATCCGCAAGTGGGAGGGCAATTTCAGCCGTCACCTGCAGATCCTACTTGACGCCTTAAACCACTATGCAGCTACCGAGACGGTCGTGCTCTTGAGTCTGTGTGCGAGGTTGAGCACTGCTAACCAGGGGACTGAGTATTCTGGCCTGCGCCACGAGGATGAGTCTGCTTGAGGATTACCAGCAATATGATTCCTTGCCGGTAGTAGAGTCATGGTGGATGGACCAAAAGGGAGGCACGAGGTTGGCGTTAAGGGGTTTCAAGACTGGGATCATGGAGAGACTTAGATACCACCAAATCAATCAATCAATCGACTACATCATGGTTGACTTATTAACTTGAACTCATTTTCCCTATTGAAGAGCTTGAATACCCGCTGTCTATATGTCATCACCCCTCTATCATTAACCTTGGCTGCTCATGACGTCCATGGGGCAAAAAAGCCCATCAACAACAGCAACGACAGTACGCCACGCCATACGCAATCCCAGAACTGCCTGCATTTTGTGGTATCGGAGAACTGCTCAACTCAACGCTCATGCCGTCCCATTCAACCCCCGAGTTATTCCCATGACGCAAAGAAACCTCTCGTGAGAGCCAAGTGTATGTCCCTCCTCCCTTTACCAACCTAGTAGCGCACAACGAAACGAAACGAACCAAAAACGAAATCCATGTATATATGCCTGCGCGCTCACGCTCCAGGATGATGCTAATTGAGCCCGAACCGGCTCACGGTGAGTGAGCAGAGAGAAGAGAAGAAGGCAGAAGAAATGAAACAAATCAAATGTCATGTCAAAAAACACACCAAAAACGCCTGCCCAATGCAGCGTCCGTCTTCCCATCCAGTCGTCCAACCGACTGTGCAGTGCAGTGCATGTCATGACTCATTTGAAAAGACTTCGAAGGTCCATCAACTTTTGCCGAGCAGCCTCGGCCTTGTCCAGCGTCTTGCTCTGTCCGTCCATACTGAGGCTGGCAAGCTTCATCTTCTTCTCCTGAAGCTCCAGCATCTTCTCCTCAAAACTATCGCGCATGATGTACCGAACCGTGCGGACAGGTCGCTTCTGTCCCAGTCGATGGACTCGGTCGATAGCCTGAGCCTCTGCCGCCGGGTTGTACTGAGGCTCCATCACGTACACGCTATTGCCTGCTGTTAGGTTCAGACCCAGTCCACCAGCCATGATGGATACAAGGATGACATGAACCGTGTTGTCTTCGCGGAACTTGTCCATGGCCGATGTTCGGAGTGTGCGGCTCATACTGCCGTCCAGTCTCGTGAACTTGATTCCAGCGGCATTAAGGGCCAGCTCGATGAGATCCAGGTGCGAGGTCCATCCCGAGAAGACAACAGACTTGTAAGGGGGCTCAGAGGGGTTGGCCTCACTGGCTGCTTTATGCTGCAAGAGTTCTTCGATCAGAGCGCGCGTCTTGGTATGAGGACCATCGTACTTGTCGAAATTCTTGACCGAGTTGCGTGACTTGGTCTTGGCTGGACCATCATGCTCAGCGTCCACCTCCCTACGGTGAAGCTGCACGAATGCATGCTTGACATAGGCGTTGCAGACTGGGCAGTATCCAGACGTCTCGCCTGGTGCCAGCAGAGATCTCACCCGGTCCTTGAATGTCTTGATGCAAGATCGGCAAATGACGTGGAAGCAGGGAGTCATGTATCCAAGAATGTC